GCAGCGGCAGCCGCATCAGCAGCAGCAGCAGCAGCAGCAGCAACAGCAAAACTCAAAGCCACCACAGCAGTAGCGGCAACAGACAGACGCATGAAGTGCCCCCGCATAGGCCTGAGCAGAAGAGGCAGCAGAAGGAGCAGCAACAGCAGCAGCAGCAGCAGGACCAGCAGCAGGAGGACCAGCAGCAAAAGCAGCAGGAAAAGAAGCAGGGGCAGTGGCAGCAGCTTCAGCAGGAGGGTGCCCAGAAACAGCAGCAGCAGCAACAGCAGAAATAGCAGGAACAGCAGCGGCGTCAGCAGCAGCAGGAACGGGAATGGCAGCAGCAGCAGCAACAGAAATAGCGGAGGAAGCAGCAACAGGAGCCGGACTAGCCGCAGCCGCAGCAGCAGCAGCAGCAGCAGCCAGCTGCCTACTGCGTTTGCTTCTTGGGGGCCTCTCATCCTACACGGCAGCACATGGCAAAGAGCATTTGCTGCAGCACTTGCTGCTGCTTCCAGCGGCAGCAAAGGGCCCCAGCCCCGGGGTCCCTTGGGGGGCCCCCCAGGGGGCCCCCCAGGGGCCCCCAGAGGGCCCCCGCTGGGGGGCCCCTGGGGGACTCCCCATGGGGGGCCCTTGAGCTGCTGCAGCAAAGAGACATGGGGTACCAGGGGGGGCCCCGGGGGCCCCGCAAGTGCTGCTGCTGTTTCTCCCATGAAGACACATTTGCTGCAGAGCCACTCAGAAGCTGAGGGGGGGAGGGGGGCCCCCTTGGGGGCCCCCAAGCAGCAGCGGTGGAAGCCCAAGAGGCAGCTGTCGCACTGCAGCAGGGGGCAGGAAGCTGTGGGTTGCTGCCCTGCAGGAGCAGCAGCAGCAGCAGCAGCAGCAGCTCCTGTTGCTGCTGCTGCGGTTTCAGAGTCTGCTGCTGCTCCTGCGGCTCCTGCTGCTGCTGCTGTCTCTGTTGCTCCTGCTGCTAGTTCTGCTGGTCCTGCTGCTGCCTCTGCTGCTCCTGCCGCCGTCTCTGCTGGTCTTGCTGCTGCTGCTGCTGCTGCTGCGCACGTGCTGCAAGTGGCTTTCTTACAAATGTCACATCTGTCGTACCTCTGGGGGCCCCTTTGACTGAAGATTTGCTGCAGAGCTTTGGCCCTGTCTTGAGGCAGCAGCAAAGGGGGCCCCTGTGTCTCTGGGAAGCAGCAATCTGGGGGGTCCCCCGGGGGCCCCCCACTACTCTCAGTCTCATCCTCCGCTGCCACCCCGCTGCTGCTGCTGCAGCTGCTGCTGCTGCTGCTGCTGCTACT